CCACACGTGTTAGGACCTGATATGTTTCAAAAGTAGCACACCCTAGCATAAAGGTTGAGGGACAATGAAATACAAAGTCAAACTATCAAAAAATGAGGGATAAAATGTGTATAATTAGCCCCGAATCAAAGGACCATTGATGCTCTAAAGCATCTCATTAATCATACAAAGCAATACAATACAAATAATGAAATCAACAACAAAAACAACAAAGGATTTAGCTAACCAAGTGAGATTGAGGGAGGAAACTCGAGGGAGTCATTTTTCTCCTCAATTCGATAGAGCTTCAGCAGTTTCAAGAGCAAAAGTTGTTCGACTAACTGAAGTCTAGCCCTACTTAATATACACAAATGAGGGGTTTTCTAGTCTTTTCCTCCTAAAGTCGGTCAAATCCTTCCTTATCTGACTTGAAGTTGGTTTCCATCAACTTGTGGACGAAGTAGCTTGCTCAAGAAGCTTCCTGGAGGATTAGGTTTTGAGCGGCAGTTGGGGCCGCCAATCATTTTCTTTGTGAGTTGGATTACCTGGCCCATGGACTGCTTCTCCTCAAGATTTGGACGTGTCTTGACCAGGTATTCTCCAGCGGCGGTTGAACCCGATGTTGGGTTGTCGCTCGTTTCTTCTTCAGCTTGGGCTAAGTTTTCTTCTATTAGTCTTGTCTTGGGATCATATAGCAACCGATAGTGGACTTCTCCGTCATTCCAACTCATCTTTATCACAAAAACTCCATATTCTTCTCTTTATAGCTCCTTTAGTCCTTCAGATTTCTTCAATGCTTGATCCAATCTTCCTTTGGTTGATTTGTAACTTCAAAATCATAAAAAAAAACCATTCCAAGAAGGCATCAAATAGGAAAAGAACACAACCTAGGTCTATTAAAGGCTCATTCATCAAATAGTTGTAATTTAGATAAGAAATACTAGAGAAATAACTAAAGAGGCTTTGATAGAAGGGGAAACAATATCAAGAATGAGAGTGACAAAACTATAAATAATGTGTCAGCATATACTAACCATAAACCTCACGAACAATCTGGAGTGCATTATTATGACCATTAGGTGGAAGTAAAATAAAAAATTCCTTAGAAATTTGAAGCCCGTGGTCTCGGGTGTAAACATGGGAGTCAAGGTTCGCTTTCTAGAATTCTTTGCCACAAGCATACCCTGTTAGCGGCTCTACATCACTGAAATACCACTTTTCAGAGGGACAAGCATAGAAATACTCTTTAAATCAAGTTGAGTCCAGCTTTGGAGAGCCATGCACAAAGCCGACCTGTCTCTTGCCTCCCCCAGACTCCCGGAGACTATACATTAGTCGGAAGGCGTCAAAAGAGGGTTGCACTCCCAAACTTTCACAAGCGGCCCTATAGGCAACAAATTGGAAGGAAATTGATGGGAAGAGATGCCCAATAATGCACTTCAATCGGCACAAAGTGCTAGTAAGTACATGATCTAAAGGAAAGCATATTCCCAGTCTGACATGCACTACATAGACAGTAATCCAGCCATCAGGACAAGACGCCAAGCGGCTTTTAGGAGAGGGAGCTGCATAGTCCCAATCAGCAGGAAGGTTATGCGTCTTTAGGCAATGGAAAAGAGGGGTTCATAATCAGGACCTTGCTCATTGACAGCCAAGGGAACTGGAACGTTCTCCTGCATATCTTCATGATGTCACAACCTATAGGTGTTGTAAGCAATTTCTTGAAATGGATATATGGGGAGGGGGGTCTCCAAAAATCATCAAAGAGGGAGAGCTTGGAGATGGATAATTTGTGTGAGTCGCCTCAGGGCTATCAAAAGAGATGCTATCTAAAGACAGAGCTATCATCAACAACTGAAGAATTCTCCTAATCACTACAGAGGCACCTGGCCACATCAGTTAGCCATAAAATAGAAATATAAGTTCGTCCCGTATACGTTTGTCTCACATTAATGGGAACACCCCCAAATCTGACTCCATAGTGGAACATTCTCATTCGTAATCTGAAATGCTTAAAGGATATAGAAAGTCAAGCATACCTTTGGCGGTTTGTACAACACCAGTGGAGGACCCAAATGAACCATCGTCAGTCGAAGGGGTGGCCAAAGCGGTGGCCACAACGTCGCCGTCATCAACCGCTTGAATCTCGGTCGTAGCATCAGCCTGAATATCAACAACGACAATGGTGGTCGATTTCTTTGACATCTTTTGAGATTTCCTTTTGAGCTTTAGAGACGATGGTTTCATAGTGGAGATCTTTGAGTGGCTGATGAGATTTTATATTTTTCTTTCGAAGCACACTCACATCTATCCTAACAAAGCCAAGTATAACAATGCTAACGATGTAGTAAATGGCTCGGTCGTATTCAAAGGGTCACGGTTTCCTAGCCTACTTAGGCTCGGTTTCTATATAGTCGACTATTACTTAGCAGGTGGAAAGTTGGAGATTAATGAACTACAAGTCAATAGGAGAGAAGAGGTACTTGGGGTGCCTCCCTCGCCCTAACCGCTGGAGATGGCATGCAAAGGAAGGAAGGACAATCCATGGTGACTGAGGTGCGGAGATTGCTAATCTAGGGATTGGCTCAATGGTCATGCAACCAATTCCCCTCCTGCACTGATCCGCTAACCTGATGTCATCTCAACTAGCTTCATGATGCATGGATAAAACCTATCCCCTCTAAATGGGTTCAACCCATCCACACACTAGGTCGTCAAGCCAATGTCACCACTCGACACCCTAGCTTTGACTTGGTGGAAGTATAATAGGCACGGGTCGCCTCGTCCACCTTACTAGATTCCTAGATCATTCATCTACACTAACATGCCAAACCGCTCAAATCCACAACCATCTCATGCAATTCTAAGTATTAGGCAATCATGAAAATCATATGGAGAGACAAGTTCAAAGCATGATTAACATAGATAAATGCATAAAAGCTCTAGGTAAACTCATTCACAAATTACAAGAAGGAGAATGATAAATCCCCCACCACTTAATTTGCAACTTGGGCAAATGGGATACAGACAATCCCATACTACTTGATGCAAAGTAAGAACAATCATCAAATCGACATAGATAGATAGGTTCATAATCATCCACAAATCAAGCCTAAAACATCCTATTACATGTCAAACCCTATGTTAGGGTTTGGGGGACTAAGCCCTAAAATACCTTGAGGAACTACCATGAAGGGGGGGGGGGGGGGGGGAGAAGAGACGTGAATATGGGGGGAAATCAGAAAGAAGAGTCTTCAAGTGTTGGAAATCCTCCTCCAAAGCTCTCATTCACTTCTTCTTTTCAAACCTTCTCTCTAACCTCACTCTAAAACAACAAACCTGTCAAAAGCCACTCTAGTGAAAGGAAGGAGTCCCCTATTTATAGATTTTAGGAGGACGGGAAAGTTCATTGTTGCGGGCTGGAAGTTCGTGGAAGTGAACATGGGACGTGAGATTGTTATCTCGAAGGGTGGCGCCTTTGCTACTTGTTGGCTTGGGAGTTCACGGCCTGACTTCATCATCGCAATCTGTGAGCCATGGCTGCGATCTTTCTCGTGGTCTTGGACAATAGAGGCTGAGAGTCAACTGTCGAAACTCTATGTTCCTTCCTTGGTGGCTGCTCCTCAAGTTCACTGTTGACACCTCCTAGTTCGGCAGCATGATCTTTGCTCCAGAGGCCGCGATCTTCAAACTAGACTTCGCCCCTCCTCTTCTCGACCGTGATTGTTTTTCTCATTTTCCTACACTTGTGACCCCTTTTGCATCATCTAATACACCCTTAAAATGAAATAAATTACTCCAATGGATGGATTCATGATGCATTTGATGAAATATTAACCATTGAGACCATGAAAAGACCCAAAATATAGGGGCTAAATAACAACATCATTTTGGGTGTTATCAGTGGCTTTCAAGAAAAGAAGCAAAACATAATTCAACACAACAAGCAATGGTGACTAGTGGTAAGAAGCAAGGAGGAAGAGCAAAGAAGAGAGGAAAACACGAGAGCTAAAGTGAGCTTAGCGGGAAAGAAAGAGAAGCCGAGTTGATTTATAGGAAGACAAAGAACGAGTCGAAGTTTGTAGTGCCCGAAATAGGATGTTATAGGCGGCGATGGAAAAGCTAAGAGACCAAAGCAACGTTTGGAATGACCAGTGTCAGTCCTCCTTTCCCTATGGGTGACATGTGGCGAAGAGCGGGATATTCAAAATGGGAGCAATAATAAGGGCAAGAGCGCGCACTTAATTTGAAGAGGTCCTTGGGAAAACTATCGACAACGAAGGAGGCAGAACGCCCTTATGTGGTCTGCTATGCATCTTAGCGGCAGGGGGCACACGATAGAGAGCATGTCACAACACTTCAAGACCACTCAACACATGTAACCTAGTTATAGCCGCCAAAACCCACAGCTTTTCCCGCCTAAAGGGCAAATGTTGAGCCAAGTGTTGAACTTAGATGGGCCTCTAAGTCCACGATAGTCAGAGCCCGGCAATAATGGGCTAAGCCCAACGGAAGGAGACCGCCTATCGTGGGAGACACATGGAGCCTGGAGGCGGTTAGTAAGCTAGCACAACCTCTGAGAGGAAGGACAATCAATAGCCCGCATGACAGAAAGTACCTCGTAGTGTCAAATTAGTATCGAAGCAAGAAATGTCCTCAGAAGTACGAATCTCGATATGTATGCGAGTGTGCATTTATTATCACCGGAGTGGTAATACAACGAACAAGACATCAATAGGTCACTTGATCTCGCATTTAATGCCAGAGCCTCTATAACGATGAATACAAATACCCCGAGATTGCATTAATGGTAAATCAACTGTTCAATCCCTCCCACTAGACATCACTCTACTTTCTCTCACTGACTTGGGCATTTGAGAGTGTCCAAGCAAAAGGTTGAATGTGTCAAAGCAAACTTTCGGCTTTTGCCCTGCCTGGCGCCTGCACACTATCGAGATTAATATATCTTTTGCGGTATATTTTCTTTCGCATCTTGCAAATTCGAGATAAGCTCATCTCATGCCAGAGTAAAATCTTGGTCCCATTGATCCTTAATAGTTTTGTTTAACCAGTGAAGTTTTATTGGACTGTCGCCCTGTGCAGAAGTGGAGGTTTTTGTCATAAGTCATAATTCATTGGTTTGACTTGTTATTTGCAGTCCGAGTGACGATTTTGGGTTCATTTTGTAAATTGAGAAAAAAAAAGTGATCATATAAACAAAAATATAACTTTCCACGATGAAATTCAAAAGGTTTCTGAAACCAATTTCACATCTGCACCATTTATTGTTCAGTCTTTCATCAAGTTTCATGCCAGTCCGGAAGCAAGCTTATATTATGACAGCCAGCGACGAACCCACGTAATATATACTTGGCCCTGAGTACAAGAACACATACAGAATACAGGACCGTACAAGAAGAATGGAAGCATCTCTTACATTCACCAACATCCAAGGCTACATAACGTTCCCCATGAGGGCTGCCTGAGGGGTAAAAACGTACATCCGGCAGTCGTGAGCATCAAGTTGAGCAGAAAATGATGCCACTGCATTGTTGAGAACCACTTCGTGCTGCAACAAAAAGAATCTGTCATGGTTAGTTACAGTACAAACAAGGGGAGCTGATATACATTCCAAAACCCATTGATGGGAATGTCTATCATACAAATTTTGCAGCCTGCAACGCTGCTCTCATTGTATAACTACTCAAATGAACAAAGTGTGATCTGTACATTCCTTCACTCCGCTTACCTGCCAGAGGTCCCTCACTGAGACACTAGTGCCGGCTTCAAGCCCAATCACATTCCATTCAGCTGTTATAGTTGCAGCCTGCATACATCTATTCCACAGAACAACAGACAAGCTATTCCCAGATAAAGGGCCAGCCCAAACCTGTTACCACATTTATTATAATATAATAAGCCAATTTGGCAAGAAAACAAGTAAGTTATGCATATACTGAGCATATACTGAGACAACAAAGGGACCTGCTGGCAACCATCAGTTCCATTGCTATGCACTTTCCTTCCCTGAACCCCAAGTGGATCTGGGTAGTAGAGCAAAAGGTAGGCCAATATGAAATGAAACAATGCCATTTCATGTCAACAGTAAGAAATTATAAAATGCAGCAATTAAGAAGAGAAAAAAATATTTTGTCGCCAAGTTGGTTTTACCTTGGTTTACCGCAATGACCTCCTGGTTGCTTAAAATCTCCTTAGTTTCTGCAGTCATGTTTCTTATATCACACCCAATCAATAGAGGGGCCTGCACACAAGGTATATCTGTCGTCGGCCATACATTCAAATCAAATTTGGAATATATTATAGTATTATGGAAAACTAGCCAACGGACACACATGATACTACAATACTCTGTCTTAATGAGCAATGACATCTGAACAAGTATGGGACAACTCAGAACAACCATCAAGCTGAAGAAAGGCTTAGCTATAAGCCAATAACTATTTCCCATGTAAGTCAGATTAACCTTTGCAGCAATCAGTTGCTTCTATTTTTTTTTTTTTTTTTTATGTTTCTCCCAGTTGATCCCTAACTTTCTTTTCTTGTGGACTCGTAGTAGGATGATGAGAGCCCAGAGCTTAAGATGAAAAGAATGAGTAATAAGAAGATAAACCTTAATCAAAGCCCATATGCTAAAATGAGAACGATATTCTTTGTATGTCATGCCTCCATTGCCAACTTCCAACATATCCGGATCTGCACCGCATAAATAACACGGGGTATCAATTACAAAAGTCAAACTTAATATGGCTGTGTTCATCTAGATCTCTGCACAAAGATATGATCCCACCATTCCATCCACCAGGTCCAGCGTAAGCCGCCCACTTGTCATTCAAATCAGCAATATTAGTCATGCTTCAGAAAGAAAGAAAAAGGTGAAAGAAGATCAGCATTCCAACATCTTTCTGTAGAGAACTTCTACAACCAAGCAACTATTATCTGAAATATAACAAAATAATATTGCCTTTCCGCCTCCTAGAATCTGACAAATTGTTCACTTGCTCAAGTAGATGTGCTAAGAAGAGAAGTTTCACAGGATACATTTCCTTAGGATCATTAGAACTGCGATCAAGAGTTTAGCTCTCAAGGCAAAACCAACAAGGAAGACGTGGTGAATGAAAGCCATGGTTTTATGATTAACCCAGAGATTCTCTCAGTGAAGCTTTCCATTGTCAATAGTGTTGGGCTATTTTCAGTGTAGTTCCATCCATGGTGCAAAGAGGAAAAACATGATAGGTTTGAGTTATAAACTCTTTTCTTCCGCTAAATAAAGGGTTCTGCACCAATGATTTGTAAGTTCTCAGTAAAGGGAACTGCCCTTTCCTATTTCTACGTGGTAACGGAAGACAGACCCAGCAAATGTCTAAAATAGTAGTTGGAAAAATTAGCAGGGTTAGAAGATGAATCAGAGGCATGTATACCATATATGAGATGTAAGTGGTTAAACAGTTAACCGAGTTTCAGAAAGATTTTACCTTACCCATGTGTCATTGATATCTTCTGTTGTACGCCAACTGTTGCCAACTTTTCCAGCCCATAAGGCCGGGTCATCCACACCCCTGTTTAAACCAAAAGAGCTTGTAATAATACAGAGGTACCTTGGATATATGGACATAAAGACAAAAGGTAGGCTCTTTTACCATTCACAGATTGAGTAGAAAATTGATCGTCCAGTTGCATTTAGAGCATCACGCATTGGTGGGTATCTGTAGATCCATGAAGTGGCACAAGCTTACATGATTTGTTCGCATGAAAGCCATCATTTCTATAACAACTGAGAGTTGAGAGACAACCTTTTTTTGGGTTCGATGCCCAGATTGAAACAGTTGTCATACTTCAGATAATCCACATCCTGCCCAGAATAACACCATTAGTTGAGTGTGACAGCTTCAAAGAGAAAGTTGCAGCATTTAATGCCAGTTACTGACAACATAAGCTACAACTAACCCATGAAGCAAATGACATTGCATCTTCTTTTTCATGGAAAATCGATCCTGGGCGAACTTGACAAGTAAATTTCCTGGGGAAAAAGACAGGCAGAAAGTTTTAGTATAAACGGTAAGTATTGCACCGTTGGGCTTTGACATGAAGAATAACAAGTAAACTCAAGTTTTGCCATAAGAAAAGCTACTAAAGAGTTCTTACCCAGCATCAGAATAGATACCAAGCTTCAGGCCTTTCGAGTGAACATAGTCTGCAAGAGCCTTGATCCCAGAATTAAAGGTCTTCGGATCAGGAACCATTTGGCCCTGTAAAAGCATTTTTGTTTTACACAGTAAGGAGTTTGCTATTTTACTACCTGCCTTACGATTGTCTTAGAGCCTATGAGTTTAGTTTCCATTCGTTATGTCACCACAAGACAGTTTTATTAATCACAAGACCAAACAACCACATCATAAGATTATAAAAGGCTGCTATTATGCGGATGCTGTTCTACTAGCCAACTGTGTCAGTGTAATTGCATGCACAGATACATTACATCATTATCAAGGTACATGTATTGAAAAGGCTTAAAGAGAGTGATTGACCTTTGCATCTCGTGTGACCTTAGACCAACAATCATCTGGGTCCAAGGAAAAAATCGGAAAAAAAATGGTTAGATCTGAAGAGAACAAGAAACTAAAAGTTAAAGCAAATGGAACCCTGCAAAACGGCTACCTATATTGACATATGTATAACCCAAGTTGGCCAAGCCAGTTGAGATAAGGGCATCAGCTGTAAAAGCAAAATCTAAGTTAGCACATCACTATCACTTATCAAGCAGCTGACACATTCAGCTTTCCGGCCACATATGGATACTCTTCAATCAGGTTATGATGAAGGATCAAGCTATGATTCATGTCAGAATGCCAAATTTAGATGCTTATAAAAAGAATAAACTTGGATGAAGCTGTTTCCTTCGCAGCAATTGCATAAACCAGGAAATCTCTTCTGCCCAACTTCCAAATTAAAGCACCCCACTGATCTCTACAACTACTCATTAGTGCACCTGTTTCCTTGATCACTGTTTCGTTGATGTTGCATGCAAAGAAATTCCAGCTATTCCATCTGCCAAGACATACTTTTGGATAAGAAACCAAAGCACTTCTCAATATGCCAAACCGAAGATGGGAAATAAATGGCTTGAAAAGTCGTCACATGTTGAATTACTTAGAAGGAAACAAAGCCAGCTCGGAACCCTCGATCATAAGCAGACTTGAACAGTTCATATCCAGAAATCAGCAACAATCAAATAATTCTAGAAATCAACAAAACCTCACGTTTAGAAGTACAAAACCCAGTAGGCAAAGAGAGACGAGAAAGCATACCCCATCGGAGGAGTTCTTGCCAAGCCATTCTGGAGCTGCAAAATCCCGTACTTGGACGTATCATAAATGGCATTGAAGGCTCTGCTGTAACCATGCTCATTCCCATCTTCATATCTCTGCAAAAGAGGGGCTGCGTTCCCAGCAACAGCCTTAAGAGGGAATTCCCCGACTAGGCACATGGTCGTAAGAAGGAAGAAATACAGAGTGGCTGTGAAGCCCTTCTTCTCGCTCGTCGCCATTTCCGGAACAAAAAATCAAAGAAAAGAGAGTTTATGCCTATTGCAGACTGCAGTGACCAATTTTCCAAGGATCTGTATGGTTTGGTATGGTTTGTGCTTTTGTACAAGACAGGTCAGCAGTGAACTTCCCAATTTCTTTCCTACTTTATTTTCTTCTTTTGCTTATCGAATTTGTTAATTGTTGTCATTATTAGTCTTATCTTCTTCTAAGCATGATCCACAGGAGAGGATGACCAAAGAGGTATAGTTTAGTCTTGAACTTTCTTTTAATCAAAATCGTATTACGTGCAAGCAAGGAGTTAGTAGTTACAACTTACATGTGACAGCTCAGCATTGTGCCAATTATCCAGTATACTCCCGAATATGCTTTTAACGGGTTTGTGTTTCTTCACCATAAAAGGAACTAGCGTGGCCCCGGCCAGTTGGACGGAGGAAGATAAGGTATGAAATTTGATAATGTAATGGGGTGTATAGCTAATTGTTGTATAGTAATTTTTTTGGAAACACGTGATAAAAATAATGAATTTTAGCAGAAAGAGACATGAATGATGCAACGAATAAAAAATCGGCCTTATGAACCAAAATCAAGTATCTGTTACCTTGTGAAACAATATTGTTTCTGGTAATATGATGAGGTAGAGTAAGTTTTATAGAAACCGGATTCCAGAAAATCGAATAAAAAAATCGCCTATCTCGTAGGTAGGGGTGGGCATACGGTTCGGTAAACCCGAACCGAACCGAGCCGAAACCGATATGGACCGAACCGAAACCGAAATTTTGTTGTTCGGTTCGGAATTCGGAAAGAAAGAAAGGGTATTTCGGAACCCAGGGTAGTCATACCGAACCCGAATTCCGAACCCCCGAACCGAAAAACCGAAAACCACCCCCACAACCCGAAGCCCACTCTCTGCAGCCCAATCCCTCCACAGACCACAAGCCCAAAACCCACTCTCCCCAGCCCAGTCCCCCCTCTAAAACCCTAACCCAACCCGTTTATCCTCCTCTTCACTCTCAAGACATGCCTGCAACAACCTCTATCCCTATCCCACCACTAAACCGCTGCCGCTCCAGAATTCCACCACTGCCCTCACGTAGCGCCGCCGCTCCAGATCCCGCCACGGCCCCCCTTTCCGCCGCCGCCTGCCCGCCCATCACCCTCTTCCCCTACTCCACCAAACGCCCCTCCCCTCCATCAACCACCCTCCTCCCCGTACCTTCACATCTCTTCCTTTCTTCACTTCGAGACCAGAGACAGAGCTGTCTACCTCTTCAATCGTGCATCGAAGGCCACATGCAAACAATGCTACATGATTCTTCGTCGCCGATGGTGCCCGGCCTGCTGCTGTCGCCAGCCGTTGTTGCCGTTGAATTAGGAGACGGAGGGGGGAGAGAGAGAGAGGGAGAGAGGAGGGAGGAGGGAGGACGGATATGATTAATCATTTGGGGCAGAGTTCTTTTTGTGGGGAGATAAGGTTGTGAAAGGAGGGGAAGATAATGTGTGGTGGATATTTTATTTGGGGAGATAAGGTTAGTTGGTTCTAGAATTTCGGGTTTGGCCCTTAAAACCGGACCGAACCGATCTATAATTCGGTTCGGGTGAACCGAATTATAGCTCGGTTCGAATTCGGTTGGGATGCATGTAATTTCGGAAATTCGGCATGTACCAGTTCGGTTCGGTTCAAACCGAACCGACCGAACGCCCACCCCTACTCGTAGGTTTTCGGAAAATTAGCATCTCACAATCGTTGCTAGCTTTTACTCGACCCGTTGGCCGATTAATTTGCTTTATAAAACTTTCATCTTGTCGTTATTGTGCTTTCTGGTTTTTGTCAAGCCATGATAAAATCTAAGAAAATCAAGAACGAACAACACGATTTGGGATAGGAACCACCGTTGTCGTATCCCTAGAAAATGGTGGTAAACACGGACTCACATGCCAAACTGGTTTGGATTGAGATTTTTATCGAGTATCAGGGAACCATGTGATTATAAATTAGACTTGATCAAAACGGGCCAAAACTTGAAATTAAGCATGTTTGACCGACCCATGCAAAATTCTAATTATTCTTAACTTTTAAACTTTCTATTTGAAAATAAAAAATAGTGAAAGAAAAGAGATGACTGCAATTCGCCATTTGCACATCACTTATTCGGGAATAAAACCATAGAAATTCAAAAGGAACTGAAAATGTTTAGGATCGTTTTAATGTTTAAAATAACCAAATAGATCTTTATGTTTAGTTTTTTACTAACAAATACCAAACGATTCCCTGTAAAATACACTATAATTTGATCATTATGATATCAAATAATTATATAATATATATTTGAAATGATAAAAATTGGACTAATTGGGTTGGTCGAGGTTGAACATTGAATAACTTTAAAATACATTATATTTTAGCCAATGATGTTCATTTTTTTTACTTGATGGCCAAATCCCGTGTAGGTCAGGACCATTCAACTCTTATTTTATGGTTAGCGGTTAGCCCATTAGATACCATGCATTAGTTTATTGTTAAATTTTATATTTTTAGCAATAAAAAGAAGTATTGTTTTTGCCTTTTCATATATATTTTATCACCACGGACAAATAAAAGGGCTTAAGGAAAAAAATTGACACTCCTGGACCCGTTTAAATCCGCATGTGTACGGAAAGTTGGCCCGTTCAACAGACGAAAGAAAAAAAAAATTGAGACTCCATATTCTACCCTTCCTACAAACGCTTTTAGAATGGCAAACCAATGATGTTCATTTGTTTTACTTGATGGCCAAATCCCATGTAGGTCAGTCCCATTCAACTCTTTTATTTTATGGTTAGCAGTTAGCTCATTAGATACCATGCATTAGTTTATTGTTAAATTTTTTATTTGTAGCAATAAAAAGGAGTATTGTTTTTTCCTTTTCATATATATTTTATCACCATGGAGAAATAAAAGAGTTTAAAGAAAAAAATTGACACTCCTGGACTCGTTTAAATTCGCATGTGTACGGTAAGTTGGCCCGTTCCACAGAGGAAAAAGAAAAAAATTGACATTTCCTATTCTACCCTTCCTACAAACGCTGCTGGAGCAGGGAATTTGAAATGGGGGAAGAGTTTTTTCCTCCCTGCTATTATATATTGTTAATTTAAAAAGATACAACAAATGTGCTTAGTGTGATTGGTTATGATAGTTGTTTTTCTTTGAAATGGTCATGGTTCGAATCCCAGTACGTGTCTTTTTAATGAATAAAAAAAGTAATTGTGAAGACCAAAATGTCCTTCCTACTTTCACTCTCGTTGCAGGAAATTTGAAATGGGGCTCCCGTTTTTCCCTTCGTGTATTATAGTATGTGTAGATTTTTTTTTCCAAAGTACACTCGTTATAAAAAATTCTCAAAATACAATAGCACCAAAATAATTTTTCAATTTATGTTCAGTTCTGTTCGCTTAAGTCTAAAGCGGTATAGGCCTTGATCGCTGTAGATAGACACGATGAAGATTTAATTGCTGAAAAGATAAGCGATCAATACGGATCGCTAAGGTGGCAATGTTCACCCAAGAATTCCCACAATTTTACCAACAATATCAAACTACATTGGCATTAGCTCGTCCATCTAGCTAGGGCTGGCGGACGGTTTTCCGGTTAGCGGCTAACCGGACGGTCGGTCGTCGGTACCGAGGGGAGAAGGCTCGGCTAGCCAACCAGCCGAAGTTGAAAATCGGCGGTTAGCCGACTAACCGAGCCTTTACCCAACCTAACCTAAACGACCCGACCCCCTCAAAACGACCCCCTCTCTAGTCCCTCCCCAAACCCTAGACGATTCCCTTCCCGACCCTCTTCTCTTCCGTCATCCTCTCTCTCTTCTCTTCCCTTTCACCTCTCAAAATGAAAACCAAGAAGAAGAAGAAAGAAGAAAGAAGAAAAAGATGACCACCGCCGCCCTCCTTCTCCCTCACGCCTCACGACCGCCGCCGCCTCCACCATCGTCGACGTCGCCCCGCTGCCTCCACCCTTGCCGCCCCGCCGCTCGACCTCCGCCATCACTCGCCCTCCGCTCGCCCTCCGCCTCCACTCGCCCTCCGCTCGACCTCCGCCTCCACTTGCAGGCAGCAGCAGCTCGACCTCCGCCAACCACCATTGCACCAGCCACCCTCGCGAGTCGCGACACGCAGCGGCGTAGCGCAGCAGTCCCGCCATCTCCCTCCGCCGCGAGTCGTCTCCCGCCGCTTCTCCTGCAGCGCTTTTCTTCACCGGGAAACCAAACTTTGGTGGGTGTGTTTGGTGGAGGAAGGAAGGAGAGAGAAGAAAGTGGTATGGTGGAAAAGGAAGGAGAGAGGAGAAGATAAGGATTGAAATGAGTGGTTCAAAATTTTTGTTCTTTTAATTTTTTTTTTGTATAAAAGGTAATTTTCCGGTTGGCCGGCTAACCGAGCCTAAAACCAATACCGACCAGTCGGTTGGCCGGCTAACCGTCACCTCTCTCACGGTCGGTGGTCGGCAGGTATAGGGTGTGGCTCGGTTTAACCGATAATCGGGTTTTCGGTTTTCGGTTAAACCAAAACCGACCGATTGCCACCCCTACATCTAGCCATGTTCTCACTCCTATACTAATTGCTTCTTCACAACCACCTTCACCTCCCATGTGAACTCGTGTGACCAATGTAGTCATATGCTCGTTTCTACATAGAAGCGGAAATGTGAGTAAAAACGTAAAGTGTAGCGTAAAAGCGTAAGTTTTTTTTTGGTACAGTATGATTAATCTTCAACAAACTACATGTCGCAATTAAAAAGGTCACTACTCATGCACATAATCTAATTCAAAAACTTTTAGGGCACACCTATGGACTATGACTATGGTGACATGCAAGGCACTGTGACTTGCACAATTCAGTCGACCTATGTGCTCATCCGGTCTAAGAAATTGCGATAGAAACCAAGAAATTCAATCCACAATTATAATAGCAAGAAACCATAACTTCTTAGCATCTTAATCACCAACACCAAATACAATAAAATAAACCTCACAATAGTTCATACATACCTAAAATGGAAAACCACATCGACTTAATATCAATCCACGATCATAGTTGCTTTAAGCCAAATCGTCTTTAAGACTTAACAAATTTCACAATAACAAAAAAAAAATCGAAATAAT